GCATTTTCCGCGCTCGAATAATATGATATAAAGAGTAGGGAACGTTGGGGGAAGGGGGGAAAGAGAGAGAGAGAGAGAGAGGATAGGATGGGAGGACCGCCGGACAGATAAAAGAATTTACTGCCTTCTAGAGGCAAATTGTCCCGGTCGTAAAATAAGTTTTGGAAACTAGAAAAAATATGCGTCGGACGCGAAAAATGCAGTCGCCAAGTATTAAACGCGTATCATCGCGCGTCGGATTGCGGATGACGCGACGGACGATCTCGAAGCGGAAAACGCATTCGCGATATACGCCCGATGCACGGCCCGTGTACTCATCGTTCTTTTTTTTTTTCGCTCTTTTTTTTCCTTTTGTTTATTTGTATCCATATCGTAAATCTGCGCGTGGCGCATGCGAAGAGAGTGATAAGCAGAATTACTCCGACAAGTGATTCTGTTTATTTTAACGACGCCGGGCTCACGCTCTAGAATGCGCCGCATGCGAAATAAAGCGCGCACGCGCGCGCGCGCGATATACATATGCGTCGCGAATAAAAAATAACAACGCACCCTTTGTTATCTTCCGGGAACGACGAGAGAGCGACAACGTGCGTGATCACGTACCGTGGAGATTCGGGATTATGAGACAGTTATTAAACAAAACTCCTCTCTCGCTCTTTCTCGCATCTACGATATCTGCCATTGATTTACGCGATTGTCACTTTTGGATAAAAGAAGCATAAAATATGAAAGAAATATAAATGAAAAAATTCATTCAAAAGAAATGAAGAAAAATATAAACAGCTGATAAAATTTTACACATTAATAATGGTGTAAAATTTAATGTTATTGAGTTTCGTATAAAGTCAGAGTCATTTTTGTAATAGAAAATGGATTAAATTAAGCAGGCGAATCAGTTTTATTAATCAGTTCTTGTCGACTGAAACTCGACTGAATCTCAAGATTGCAATTTTATAAAAGCTCCATGTGTCGGTTTCTTTTCTCTCGTCTATAAAATTGTAAAATTTATGCAGTACTCTCATGAATCAATGCATTCTATTTTTATATCCTCGCGCATATAAAGTTACAAAGTTTCGTGTATCCCGGAAAACGTCAGATCTTGCACGAGCTATGACGAGAGTCTCGTGACAAGCTAATAAATCTCGTCCGAGCGTAATTAAGTTAGCCGGGTGCTTTATATATTAAATTATGCGCGACGTTGCGCGCAATAAAAAAAAGTAGTATATCTTTGATTACTGTTTTGCATAGAGATTTGTCGAACGGGAGAAGGAAAAGAAGGGAGAAGGAAAAGAAGAGAGGAGGGAAAGGGAGAGCTAGACGAAAATGCGCGGAGAGCGGCCGGTGTGCGTGGTATTGTTTCATTTAAACGAAACCATATATATAGAGAATGCAACCGCCGCCGTTTTATCGGATTTTATCGGAAATTGAGCCAATTATGGTACTTGAGTTAACGATCCATTGTAATACAGTTTCCCGAGCGCTAGCTGCTACCGATCCCGAACGAGTTCCCCATACGAGATTTCGTCGCGCGGATTGCTTTACACGATGATCGTCGCGAGTTCCGATTGGAAAACGTCCTCGGAGGACCCTTCGTCGTCGTCGTCGTAAGCGAAGGAAACCGCCATCCGCGAAAGTGACGACGATAAGCGAGAAGTCGTGTTCTTTCGGTTTCGACCGACGAACCGCGATAGCGAACGTTAACTCTCAGCCCCGGCGTACTTCGCCATCTGGGTTTGGTTCCAGTGCCGCGATCGCGGTTCAAAGTTCAAACTCGATTTAACTTTGAAATCGGGTCCGCCGTTGACCGGTCGATGGCTATGTGCCGCCGCCGTTGCCTTCCACAGGAGGAGGAGGAGGAGGATGGGATATAGCGTTACCGAGAATTTAAGCTCTCTAATTGTCGTATCCCCCCCCTCCCCCCCGATATCGGCGACCCGCCCCACGTGAACATTTTTTTTTACGCGCACGCTCGCACTAATGCGAGGTGAGTTTATGCGTTTAACGAGACGCGCACGCCGGTGCTTTTCTCTTTTTTTTTTTTTTTTTTTTTTTTTTTTTTCTTTTGCCGTCACAGCGAATGAAATTTCCACGATTCGCCGTGGTATGAAATACTTTGAATAATTCGTGACGCTTGTTGGCCAGGATGCAAATGCGCGTTATTTTTTTCGGCTATCTCTGTTATTTTAGGCTCGCTCTGCTACGCGGATTTCGCGAACGACGAATTTTCCGCAGCAGTACGGTATCACTTCACCAAAGAAGGAGAGTTTCAGGGGGATATAAAGGTTAAACTATAAATATTCGATTCGCTGTTTGCAATCTCGGTGGTGTCCGAAAGAAATTCGGGTCATAATGAATAACTGATATCCTATTATTGGGGGTCGAATATACATATATATAATAAAATACTCGATATATATTTCTGTATCAATCAGGGTTAAATTGTACAAGTTATTCTTTATGCTTAGATTTATTTGAGTTTCTTCTTAAAAATAGATATTGGAAAAAGATGAGAATTTTCTCTCGCGAATGCACGTTATGTAAATTCCGGAATAGATAATGAGGTGAAAACATTTGTACAAATATGCTGGGTCATCCAATAACCACATGTTATCGAAAGATGTGCGCAGCAGCGATATGTTAATTCTGGTAAACACACGCGATGATGATAATAATTTTGCGAACGCGAGGCTCGATAATAAATGTGCGATTCGTTGCGCTTTAAAATAGTAAAATCTCTCGGACGCGTGCATATCGCGGCAAGACAAATAAGCTAAGATACGGTAATTGGCCGGTTATAAATAACCGCGGGTAGACGAGGTGACGTTCTCAGAAATCTTAATTACCCTTATACGAACGTCACGTGACAATGCGCATTTAGCGGGCAGGCTGGCCGGTCGACCTTAGGTAAGACGCGCTAAATCGCGTGGGTTCATTCCGGCCATGGCGAGATACAATTGCGAAGGGGGTAATTTCCGAACGATAATCGCTGTTTGAAGCTGTCGATCGTCCCATTATCCTCTACCCTCGTCCGTCGATTTACAAACGGTTAATTAGCCTCCGCAAATTCACTGTTCTGAATGGATCTATTTATCTATCTACGCAGGAGAAGACGCGCCTCGCCAATCGCGATGAACGTTTTTAATTTAATTACGAAACCTGCAAAATCTTGGTGAAACAGTTCGCTAAAAATACGCTCTCGTCGAGAGAAAACGAGGTTAAAGCGTCCAACTAATTCCAACGCCGGTTAAGAGCACGTTCGATGAACGATAGGCTGAAAATTGAAGGATATTTTGATATTTTTTAACGACAACCTCGGAATTTTATTTACGCCGATCGATATGTACAGCGAAGCGAGGTTGAAGGGACAATTCCCGAATGACAGCGGTTTGCTCGAAGCTGCCGACCGTTCCATTATCTCCAACAATTCGCAAACAGTAGTTATGCCCTCCGCAAATTCGCTATTACTTATTTCGTAGGTAAAGACGGTGGTGCCGCGCGGCTCGCGATCGTGGATGTCTTAATTAAATACTTGAAACAAAGTTTTTTTTTTCTTTTCGAATAATAAATTGCGCTCGATAGCAGACTGGGATGATTGAATCAGCGAACTAATTTCAAAGCGAAACATCGCGGCTTCGATTGGACGATATAATGCTCGGTAAAAAGCTCACAGTGTATATATGGTATGGGAAAAATTCGGCGTTTCTTCTGATCGATTGGGTTATTTCAATTTATTCGCACGCGCGAGCTTAACAAAAGTAACTCGCGGACTCGTCTTTAAATACTACAAATTCAGGCACGTAGAATTAAATTCCGTTTGATTTCTCGAGATTTCTCAAATTGTTGTCGATAACTCGGACATAATTGAATTATCTCGCATACTCGTGAATTTCTGTTTGTCGCGCGATCGAAGATATCTGTTATTTTCGTACGCGATTGTTATTCCCGGCGCTTTGCATGGATATACATAAATGCATGCCGTTTTGTGTAGATAGGTAGGTCGGTACTAGCTTTTATTCGTCTAGTTTGTATTCTTTTTATTTCTCTCGTGTCACGTTGCATTTTGTCGCGCGCGAGCGAGCTAGACAAGCCGCGCACAAGAGTATGCATTTGTCGATATACGATATATATATATACATATAAAATATATATGTACGATATACAATCCGTATCTCCCTTTCCCTCTTTATCGACGATTTAATCGGACGATTTCAGGATAATTGCGAAATTCGCATTGGGTATTAGCGGGTTCGTTAATTTACTAATTCGCTTATCACATATAATGCAAACGCCATCGACTCGCCCGACGAAATAGAGTCCAATCATTTTTCGAGCAGCGCTTTAATTCGCAAATCAGCATCCATTCATGCACTTTTATTGAACTTGGACAGAGCAATCGAAATATTCTCGGCACGCGTGCGAAAAATGAATTTTGATATCTCTTGTAAACGCTTTTCGTTCATGCAGATAGATTTCGTTATTTGTCGTAGCTCGACGCTGATTCGCGATAGTAACCATGCTTCCTTCTATAGTTTGAGTATATTTTATATTATATTTAAAATTATAGAATAATTTAAAGAAACTTAAATATACAGAGGAACTCTACATATATATATACCTGTATATATAAGATTTTATTATAAAATATAATTCTATTGCACGCGTAGAGATTTTATCTTCAATTTATTCTCTAATTTATGTAAATATATCTACGTGTCTTAAAATCGCGTTGATGAGAATCTTTTAAAACGCGCGATTCGTCGCTCCTATAAAAATCTGCACGATTACCATTCTCTCTCTCCTAGTCGCTAGTAAACTTTTCTACAGATTTCAACGCCAAGAGTCTCCACTCTGTGATATGCCGCTTTATTTGATATATGATATATGCTCATCCAAATGTGCTTTAGAGTATACGGTTTACGCGAGAAATCCGTCGGTTTTCGAGCGCTTCACTGTCGAATAAACGTCGTTTATACGCGACAAGTACAACAATTTCTTCGTACCTGAATGGATGAGCAGCGACGACAATACGAGGAGCCGTGGCAGTAAGACGACGAAGGCCGCGCGCAGCATTCTCGCACCCGCGAGTGATTCCGGTTCTCCAAGATCGTCGGGGATAATCCGGCGATGATGATGCGCTCGGCGCGGCGCGGCGCGATGTGGCAGGCGAAAGATCGACCTATCTCCTAACTCCCGCGGCTTCGGGACGACGAGTCATCGCTCCCTCTCGCACAACGGGTCCACAACGTGATCCCTGGTAAACACTCGATCGCGGCGAACGCACACGTTCTCCGTCTCTGTCTCTCTCTCTCTCTCTCTCTTCCTACCGAACGCGTCGGAAATCGATCTTTCCACGCTAACCGACCGAGAGGAACGGAACGAACACGAGCGCGAAACGCACGCGGTTTTGCCGCTCGCGCATGGGACGAGAAGCGCGCGACGAAATTCAATCGACGAGGAGCACGACGTTGATGACGACGATGAGAACGACGATAATCGGCAACGACGAACGCGCGCTTCAAGTATTCGCGGCGGCTCGCGGTGACACGCGACACATAATTTCCTATGCTGCCGCCCCTTGACTAATTGAAAATCTATATACGGTCGTGTTACACGGGTTTCCACCTTCCGCGGAAAGCAGTCGGTACTGCGGCATTGGCACCGGAGGAGGACGAGGCGCCGAGGCGCGCGCGAGAGGGTTGGAGCGGCGGGACTAGCGGAGGGTGCAGCGACGTGAGTGAGAAAGGGAGAGATTGACAGAGGAAGAGAAAGAGAGAGATGGAGAAAGACGGAAAGAAAGAGAGAGAGAGAGAGAGAGAGATGCGACGAAGTCCGAGGAGGTGGTAGCGACGGCAGTGCTGCTGCTGCTGCTGCTACTGCTACTGCTGGTGCTGCTGCTGCTGCTGCTGGTACCGTTGCCGACGCTGCCGACTGTGGTGGTGGTCGTGGTGGTGGTAGAGGTGATGGCAGTGGTTCTGCCGGTGGTGGTGGTTGTGCCGTGGAGGGTGGAAGACCACCTGGCAGCGCGGGGTGGAAAGAGAGTGCGAGAAGGACGGAACTATCCGGAGAAGGTTGCGGGGGTTACGGGGAGCATGAGTGGACGAGGAGGATGAGGAGGAAGAGGAGGAGGAGGAGGAAGAGGAGGAGGAGGAGGAAGAGGAGGAGGAGGAGGAAGAGGAGGAGGAGGAGGAAGAGGAGGAGGAGGAGGAAGAGGAGGAGGAGGAGGAAGAGGAGGAGGAGGAGGAAGAGGAGGAGGAGGAGGAAGAGGAGGAGGAGGAGGAAGAGGAGGAGGAGGAGGAAGAGGAGGAGGAGGAGGAAGAGGAGGAGGAGGAGGAAGAGGAGGAGGAGGAGGAAGAGGAGGAGGAGGAGGAAGAGGAGGAGGAGGAGGAAGAGGAGGAGGAGGAGGAAGAGGAGGAGGAGGAGGAAGAGGAGGAGGAGGAGGAAGAGGAGGAGGAGGAGGAAGAGGAGGAGGAGGAGGAAGAGGAGGAGGAGGAGGAGGAGAAGGGCAGGGTGAGTGAGTTCGAGTTGGTTCCTGGGCGACTGCGCCGTTCTCCAAGTCGATGATCGCTGCAAAATCTTCCGTCTCTCTCTTTCTAGCGCGGGGCGCTTCTCTTTCTCTCTCCCTTCCTCCCTCCCTCCCTCTCTCTTTCTCTCTTTCGGGGTGCATTCCCTACGTACGCGCGCGTTTCTCACTTGCACGCTCCTGCGTTATACGTATGTACATACGTATGTACGCGCGTGTGTGCGCTTGCACGGAAGTGGGTGGAAGCGCGCTCGAGCGTCCGTGCGGGCGCTAACGAAATTGGCGAAATACGCTCCGCTCGGAGGAGCGCGGACGGAGGCAGCGATTCTGTGTCCCTTTCGAATCCGCCGGCGTATCGTGTCGTCGTTCCTCTTTCGACCGACCCGCCACCGTACCGCACCGCACCGCACCGCACCGCACCGCACCGCACCGCACCGCACCGCACCGCACCGCGACATATCGGGTCTTGGGAAAAAACGGCCGGCGGACGAGAGGATAACGCGGAAGTTAGTTGGCGATCGTCCGGGGCGATCTTCCGTACATCGGGCTTAATCCTGTGGCCCGGTAATAGGATCGACCGGCGATCCCTCTGGGAGTATCCTGGCGCGACTCTCGAGATTTTCGAATTTATGGGGGAATTGCGGGCGTACGTACGCTTCTTGGACGCCACCGTATGGAATATGCTTCTCGCCATAAATTCGAAATTCCGAGTGGCCCGTACGACATCGCTCCATTGTTGAGGCGAGAGTGTAAGGAGAGTCGTCCTCTCCATGATTGTCCTGCGAGACCGCCCAATGACAATTGCCAGAAAGAGGGAGGGAGGGAGAGAAAGAGGGAGAAAGAATCTGCGAGATATATTTATTTATTTTATTTATAAATCAAATCTCTATTTTATTTTTTTACTGATGGATTGGATTGAAATCAGATTCTACCGATATGAACCTTGTTTACACGCGAATGATGGTTTACCATTATATCTTGCGTATATACGTAGTATCTTTTATTCAACTGCAATTTTTCGCTTAATACGTATTGCAAATCGACGCAGCTTCGAATTACGAGTTTAACAATATCTGCAAAGCAGTTCGAGTATAAATGCTATTGTTTCAATGATGCGATATAATTTTAGAGATAAACCATGAATGAGGTAAACAACGTTATGTTAATGAATGTATAATTAGTTTACAATCTAATGATTCTGAAACAGTGTATTATGCAATATACTCGGAAAATCTCGAGATGAGTATTATTCCTTATTTGAACTATAAGAGAGAGAGAGAGAGAGGGGGAGAAAGAGAGAGAGAGAGAACTCGATATCAACTCGCTCGCACAGTGGCGTAATGGGCTTCCCCTACGCGTTACGTTGAAAAAGGCATAAAAGGGGTAAGAGGAATGGCGTTTCGTGCAGCCACTCGCGCACGGGAAGGAGCGTCTGGCCCCGGGTAGCGAAAGAATTTCTCTCGCATTTCGAGTTATTGCACTTGACAGGTTTCTCGCCCCTGCGCTCACTCCGCCGCGTTACTTGGGCCGAGTGCCGGTGAGCTTGCGGCGAGAAACGGGAAATGGGAGGATAAGGCGAAAGTTAGTTGGTGATCGTCCGTGCATCGAGCTTTAATCCTTTGTCCCGGTAACGGGATCCCGGCGTTAAATCCCCTCGGTCTCGCATCCGCGCGCGGAGGATCTTTCGCGTACTTGTCCAAATAAGGGCAGTAATTTAACACCGGAAGAAAGCGAGCGAGCGAGCGGTCATTTCCACCACCGGATGCCGTAAAGTAAAATTCCAAATCCTGCCGCTTCTCTCTCGATTGACTTTTACATTATTTTATCCTTCACATCCAGCTTGCTCCTATATTTTATTCATCTTTTAACCGTAGCTTTTACAGTTATACGCGATGTATCGATAGTTGTTTAAAATTGGTGAAGATTAAAACGATTGTTGATTTTCAACGCCGGGGAATTTCAAACTATAATAAAATTAATTTTGCCTTCTGTATTCGCGCGTAGAACTCTTTTTTTTTCTTTTATTTCAGTTTTATATTATTCAGTTTTTAGCAGCGATAGAGCTTTCGCGGTTGTTCCTTGAATAACGGGGATCCTTTAGTGACGAAAGGAGTTTGGAACGGTCATTTTGACCGACGACTTCCAAATAGGTAATCCCCTTTGGTTGCTTGATAGTCGCGGTTCCCTTGTCCAAATAACGCAGGCGGCTCTTTTAATACCGGACGGGTCGAAGCGGCGAATTTATCCGTGGTGGAATTTTAAATGTGAAATAATCCCGCTTTTTTTTTGCTTGAGAGATTCCGACATTTTTCAGATTGTCCATCGCGTCTTCGCGCTTTTTAATCTTGAACGGCAATAGGACGAGACTGTGCTATATAAATAGTCTTATTAAAAAAAAAAAAAGGAAAAAATATCTGCCGCTGTACAGATAGATGAGAATTCTTTAATAATTTTTTTCAGAGAAGAGATTGCATACGCGCAGAGATTTTACTAACTATAATCTTTATGAGCGATTTTCTGACTCTAGAGAGAATGGAAATTCTGTTAACCGTGCAGAAACATAATATTGGCGCAAACGTTATTCGAGGATCGAATTGGAGTCGCGTCTTCGTCGTGCTCTTCGCATAGTTACACGTAACATAAAGCAGGTGGAAGAGTGTTTCGCATAGTTTCTCGTTGCCACGAGATACAGGTCGTGATATAGAATCTCTTTCGCATTTACGAAAGTTATTGCGCTCGGCAAAATCTTTCTTCCCGCGCAGATAGAATCGTCTTATAATGCAATTTTTTATCATTTTAATTATATATATATATATATTTCGTGATTCGACCGAGATAAAGAGACAGAGATAAGTACTGGAAAAGCACGCGCTTCGAAATCCGATCAAGATGATTTTTTAACTGATAACAGATCAACCACGTGATGTTTTCAGACTATCGGAATTTCGTTGACCTTATTCACCATTTTTAACGCGAAGGTTGCAACAATTTATAAAATAATCATTTCAGCATGTCAAAACTGTAACTCTTATCTGTTGTCTTGAAAATAAAAAAGAAAAAATATCCTCGAGACGCGCGATACATCATATATTCTCTCAATATTTCATTACATGCCCTCGGGCATTATTAAGACTCCAACAAATAGATCTTGGTTCTCTCTTTGCTCGATAAAACATTGAGGAAGGGGACAAATGGAAGCGACTAAAGTGATTGCGGAACCCAATATGCTTCTACGAACGATCGAACCGCGAATTCCTCTGTAAAGTGTTACGACGCGTTCGGAATTTCGTTAGTCGCTGCGTCGATTAAATAAATTTCTCGGCAGCGGCTAGCAAGCGGAGGAACGAAAGAACGCGGGGGAAAACATTAAAGAGTTTCCTTCACACTCGGGAGTTTCCGCAACTCGATAGCTTTCTCGCCTTGGCGCGCTCCGACCGGCTCTTCTTTGGCCGAGCTAACGCTGCACAGGATAAACGGCCAGTGGATGAGACGATAACGTGAAAGTTACTTGGTGATCGTGTAAGGCAATCGTCCGTGTATCGTGCTTAATCCTCCGGCTCTCTGGTAACAGGATCAAGCCGAGGAAGAAGAAACTTTTTGGAAGCGCGCGCGCGCGCGCGCTCGCCGATTAAATGCATCCGCGTATTTGCCGACGATACGTCGTCGGATAAATAATCGTTATTTTATCAAGCAAGTTAGTTAATTGGTCGAAAAGTCAGCTCGGCAGAGTAGCGGAAGGAGATGTCGAACGTGCGTAATTGATTAAACGCGTTTTAATGAATTCGCGAGCGAAACGGGAATGACGACCTGTTGAAGTGACGCTGTCGATTAATTCGAAGCCTTCTTTTTTGCTATCCGTTTGCGCGCTCCCTCGCTCGTTGGGCGATTTTTGCATTTAATTATGTGCATTAAAATGCAGAAAGCGCGTGCAGACACTGTATTAGAGACGAGGTCTATCATACGGCAATCGAGAATAGCCGGGTGCAAACGTGTCGATTTTATATTCTGCAAAATGAGCACCAATCAAAAACCGTTTGATGAAATGATCGCCGCCGAGTGGATTAACCGGAAGTTCGAAGTGCACAGGCGATGGTAATTACAATAGATCGTTCGCATTTGGCTCTCCATTTATGGATGGATAACTCTGTAACGTTCTCAAATTTCTGACAACTTCAGAGTGGATTACGATTAGAATGCTTTCGCGAAAGAGAGAAGCGATCGGTCTGTGTGCGGTGAATATATCGTGCAATGTTAGTAATATAACAAAGCAACTTTGTTTACATATTTTTCGAATAGTACAATCAGAGGAAGCAAAAAATGGAGAGAACATTTCAAGAACTCTTTATAATTAAAATTAGAAAAATAAAATTTTATTAAATGTGTATAAATATTTAAAAAATTTAACATCTCTCTCCAGTCTTGATAATTATTTAATGGTATTTTTGCATTTTACTATACATTCTTTATCACCGTGCCACATTTAAAAATAAGTCGCAAAAAATATATCGGAAAATATATGTATATAGTTACAATAATCCGCGTTATTGATCGCGATTC